AAAGCAGGCATGGCAATAAGTGTCGGGTTTAGGGTTTAGGGTTTAGGGGGCAGTCTGGAAGGACCATTTACTGCCATTACGCTTTTGTCACGAGATTGCCCAAACTGACTCCGAAAAGCCGACACCCCTGCTCAAAGCATCACAGCAGCCAAAGGATATGACGGCATAGACAATGATGTAGGCCTTTCAGCAGGCAAGAAGCATTGATCCATCCTCTCCTACTCTTCAGTTCGAATGCAGCGTTTCCCTACTCTAAACGTCTTAATAATTAGAAGAGGGTTTTGGGGTATATTAGACTATAATGTTAATAAGGAGCCCCCAAACTAATAGGTAATTATTTAGGCCCCTATTTAGGCGCCTTTGGGTCGACTCCGGTGACCGGCTTTTGTCAGCGGTTGCGCCACCTCCTCCCCAGTTTCATGAGCTCCCGTCAGGCAAAGGGCCCACCGACTCTTCCGACAGTGAGTTGCGCGTCCCACAAATTACGAACTGCACAGAAAAGCTGCTCGGATTACTCACAAGCAAGATCAGGCCACAATGACTTGGAAAAGCTGTGACCTGAAGGTCTTTTTGGCTACCCAGAAAAGCAACTGCAATAGTTGGAGGCAGGCAACCCGGATGAGCAGCAAAAAGATGTCCAACTGGCCCACAATGGTGCAAACATAAAATAGTCGAGTCGGCCTGAAAATGTCTGTCAAGCTACAGCTTCAGAGCTACAGCTGCCGCTGCCTTACCATCAGAGGCCCTAAGCCCCGGAAGCCCTTCAAACGTCTACTTTGGAGACCTTAATAGTTAGAGTAGGGTTTCGGGATAGGTTATAGCATATGTAGGGAATTACCACACAGCACCTCAGACTGCACATTCGCTGCCAAAGTGCCCAGTTGAAGAGCATCATGCGAGCTGAAGGTACGAGCCTCGGCAGGCTGCACGATGCACGGCTCTAGTCTGACACATACTAGTTTAGGGTTAGGGTTTAGGGTTTAGGGTAAGTATCAGAACTGCATCAGGAATAATACATCTCTGACCTGAGATCCCCCCCCTTCAATTTAGCCAGCAAGCCGTGGGGAGAGGAGGAGTACGGCCATGATGATGTCCACAGTCGTGTGCCCCTGCATGGTGCAGTCCTGCCAACAGGAGCTCCAATGTGCTTTAAGCGTGTCGAATTCGAGGTGTAACTAATCAGGTCTCGTGTAAAAACTGAAGGATTATTGGGGAACGGATTGCCCTGTAAGCCGCGGCCGCGCGACTTGTTGCCTAAACATCTAAACCCATAAGTCCACATGCATGAGACCAATGACCATAAACCCTGACGCCTTTTGTATTTGAGGCCCTCCCAACACCGTTGATTTCCCAACCTTCGTTCTTGGCAGTTGTTGGGCATACAAAAGCCCTCCGACAACTCGAGGACTGGATCACGGAGTGCAACAGGAGACCACGAGAAGTGCACAACCTGGAGCTCTACACAACAAAAACACCACGGTATTTTGCTGTTGGCTCATGCCATGCACTGGTCTGTGTGCCGTCAAAGGTTAGGGTTCAGGCACTCAGTTTTTTGCAGAACCAACCTGGCAGCAAGCCTGCCTGGTGGAGGACCACTATCGCTGCAGCACTGCCCAGCAGGACTTTACGGGGGGTTGGCACGCATGATTGGTTTAGGGTTTGGTTTCTTCGGGTTCAGGGATTGAAAAAGGCCGCAGCCCAGTCTTCCTCCAGAAGAACAAATATAGGGGCCTTAATAATTAGAGTAGGGTTTTGGTGCCCATTATACCATAATCATAATAAGGAACCCCCCAAAATAGTATATAATAGGTACTTATCTAGGCCCCTATATTAAAAGCTTAGAAGCTTCCGTGGCCAAGCATCCTAGGAAGCCTCGAGCCAGGTCAGCCAGTCTGCAACAGTCGGGCCGACAAAAGCTGTCAGAACTGAACCGTTTCTTCAGCTTCGCAGAATAACTAAACTTAACTAAACCCTGGGGCGATGCGACTGAGGCAGTCAAGCCTGCCTCACCCGGGCCCAATGAGACTGCTGCAGCTGAGCTCTGTCCAGAACGCTGGCAACGCACGAGGGCTTGCAGTGGCTTGTGACGTCTCCTGTGCGTCCTGCAGTGCTGAACGCCAGCACCATAGGGGAATAAGGAAACCCGAAACCTATGAAGGACAACTAAAAGGACGCGCTGGGAGGCAAAATGCGATGTGAAATAGATTGCTTTCATTGCTGAAAAAGCAGCTATATATCTTCGGTTCCCCTGCTCATCTCGTGGAGGGAGCATGTCTAAAAGTCTTTGCTCCCTGAATTGTGAGTTGATGCCTCGCTATAAACCCCACGGACGCTTGCAGCAAGCCACTTACTCTCAGGCTGCCGACAGCTCAGACAACGATCGTTGCAACCGGCGTGTCCGGACATCCGCCTTGGTTTCCGTACGTGCAAGGACGCTGCGCTGGAATTTGCACAACTTGGGCTTTGATTGGGGGTTCCCAGAGAGCCGAATACCCCTCGAATAAGGAATATGACCTTAAATTGTAGGGGCCTTAATACTAATATTATGATTTAAGGTATATTCCTTATTTAGGGGGTATTGCGCTCTCTGAGTTTTGCCACATTGAGTGTATCTCTGGCGATCCCACAAACGACCAGGACCTTCCCAAATTGGTCCATCAACTCGGCGCTAATAATTTGAATAGGGTTTTGGGGGGCCATTATACTATAGTTATAATAAGGAGCCCACAAAAATAGTATGGGTAATTATTTCGGCCCCTACAGTAAATTCCAAAAGCTTCAAGGGTTTTCCGGCAACAGCTACTGGCTAGCACAGCAAGACCTGTTCAATCCTTGGTACCGTTTTAACTACCAAGTCAAGCCTGAGGCCACGCAAACGGAACGGAGCAACCCTAAAACGGGAACCTGAAGACTAAATCGCAAGACTCAGAGAGCCCAATACCCCCTAAAATAAGGAATATACCTTAAATCATAATATTGAGGCCCCTACAATGTAAGGTATATTCATTGTTTAAGGGGTATTTGGCTCCCTGGGGATGTCCCCAGGTATACCGTCGGGATTCGAGTTTGAGGCGTTTTAGGGTTCGAGGATCAGGGGTGCTCAGAGGCACCTTTGGTCAAGTCCGCGGAGGCGAGGGCATCTTTGAAGATCGCAGCCTGATCTCACTGATGGTGATACCTACTTAACAGATCTAGGGACGTAGTACATAGAACTATAAGAAGATAACTCATGTGATACTTTCTTTCATTGGACTACCAAATCAAAGTGGATATAGCCGTTTTAATGAAGTCCTCTTGATCCCGCGAGTATCCTGGTACCGCTAATGCCTAAACCCCAAAATTACAATGGCGATAGTCAGCTTCGAGCTTGCCATTGTCCCTCTCAGCCACCTCTTCGCTATGATCAGCCATCCCCATGATCATCATCATCATCATCATCAACATCGACCAGGACGCGGGCAATGAACCAACGCCAGTGACCGTTACAACAATGAGGACAACAAGAACAAGAACAAGAACGCCAACAGGAACAATAACGATGAACAGCAGCATCTCTACACTCCACCTCGGCCTCATCACCGAGGAACTATCTATCACCATCATAGCCGTCGTGTTCACGGTCCCATCAAAATCATCTTCGCCATCACCCCATCATCACACTCGCACCCACAGTCATCGTCACGATCACCACAACGAACGATTTCTTGATCTATGTCCAATTGTCCTGAACCACCAAAGCGACTGCTACATCAGTGTCCTGCTCATAGCCGTGTTTAAGGATTCGAAAGGTGGTTACAATGTGGGTTATCGGGGCCGTTGGCATTCTGGGTTGTACGACAGTGTGGCTCAATCTCTGATCTGCAAATCTAGGAGCGGACTGGGTGAAGGGAGCATGACCGAACTCCGTCTTGCAGACCTGCACACATCGTTTGGGGCTTAAAGTTTAATTAGGCAGATTAGGCTTGGACACTTGCAGGGTTTTTTGGGGCTCAAGTTGGTTCCATGTGTCATGGTCACATCGCCTTGCAGTGTCACGGTTTGAGGTCGGCACAAGCCTCCAGCAACATCGAACAAGGTAAGAGCGTGCTACTCCATCTGGGGCCTCTCAAGATGCTTCCGTGATTCTTGCACACACTGGGCCTGTGTTGCTGAATTCCCGCCTACCATCACTGTAATAGCTGCGCATGCTGCTACGGAAAAAGCGCGTTTGCAACTTCACAGCTCAGACGTAATATGGCTTTCCTCGTTTCATCGCTTCACGGAACTTACTGACCCTTGTGGCGGACGGGGTAAGGATTGGGATGATTGGGCAGTCACAGGCTTGCACCTGGCACCGGTAAGTCAGTTAATGGACATACAAGGAGGCTCGAGCTTCAGCACAATACCCGAGTTTCCAGAGTCCTGGATCCAAGTCAGCCTCTTGTCGTCTAGCCCATACCTTAGCCTACCAGAACCTACTTTTTTGTAGGGTCCCTATAAATCCCATATTAGGGTTGATAATAAGAACCTACAAAAAAGTGATTTATGGTAGGTTAAGGAAATTCATAAGGGCACGATAAAAACCACAAGCGGCCGGACTCCCCGGCACAGAGAGACGATTCAATTCAGTGAACGACCTTGAGCTACAGTCTTGTGTTGGCTGGGTAATATAAGGGCCTCAATAGTCGGAATAAGGTTGTGGGGCCCATTATACTACAGCTATAATAAGGAACCCCCAAAATAGAAAGGTAATTATTGAGGCCCCTAAACCCTGGACCCTTATAGTAGCCCCTTGAAGGAACCCTTTTAACGAACCCTCCAAAATTGTAGAGGTAATTAGGTAATTATTGAGGCCACTCTATTACCTGGTTCCGCTTCAGGGCTTGCAGGACTCATCTCGGGGCGTGCAGAACGAGAAGAGGATGGAGTCCGGGTGGGGCTTAGGGTTCAGGGTTCAGGGTTTAGGGGTTTAGGGTTTAGGTCTGGGGGTTGCAAATGATAACGTGCCTGCTTCTCGCTCAGATGAGCGGAATAATCCTACCTATGCCCCTCGCCTCCAGAAGCTTGCGTTCCTGCATGACCTTGCGAAAGCTTTGTAGGGTCCTTTCAAGGTCACTTTAAATTGGGAAGGTGACTGAAATAATCGCAAGCCATCAGTGGCCCGTGTACATGCGATATCTTGCAGCTAAAGTACGACCAGACCTGGCTAGAACCACAAATTCGACAATCATCGGGATAGCGGCAGGAAGTCTACCATCAAGACTGCCCGAAACACAGGAAAGCCCTGCTCGTCGCATCTCGTGCATCCGCAGGGCTATCAGTCCAGCGGAAGTCTGACAAATATCGGGCTGTTCGTGTAGGGACAGAACCTTTATGGCTGAAAGTAAACGTCCAGATGCACCCTCAATTCAGATATTTGCAGCTTCAGGGTGGGTTCAACTTCTGCACCAACTGTTTTCTGAATGCCGTACTACTCGGGCAAGCGTGTTGAGTGAAGCCAGAGTGGCGCAATTCGCGGCCACAGTACGCACAGGCCTGTCCAAGGCGGGATGCTCACATCCAGAGGTCCAGACGAGACAGGCATGGTTCAGCGTTCTGCGCATCATCCGTGTGCAAAGAATCAGGCAGCCTCCACAAGACCCTACGTGCTGCGTCGCCCATGTAGGCCCCGTGTGTCACTTCCAACAGCTTTCAAAGAAAGCTTGAAGTTCAAGCAACACCAGCAACATCTGCAAAGGCGACATATCCCGCATTTATAGGGCACCTTGAGAATGAGCCGACACCAACAGTTCGCGAGTCCAAGCCCCGGTTTCACGATTTGGCATGCAATGATATCACATGCTCAAACTCACTGCCCCAAACCCCAAATCCCAGTTTTCAGCACGGAGGCTAGCGCCCATGGCCCCCCATTCAAAACCCGAAACCCTCCTGCCTCGGGTTGGCCCAGAAGCAGCCACTAGCTTCGCTCGGCACGACGTTGGGTGGGCATTGCCCCGCTCTTGGGAAGCCTAGGACCGCAGTTGCTTTAACGGAGACCTCCTAGGGTTTAGAGATTAGGGTTTAGGGTTTAGGGTTTAGAGATTACCTGTAGTCTCCATTGTAGTTCCTTCTTGGGGATACCTTATAAAATCCTTAATATATAGTTGGTGAAAACAAAAAAGGAACTACAACGGAGACTATAGGTAGGGTTTAGGGTTTAGATCTACTAGCACGGGGTTTGGGGTTGAGGGCTGCTGTGCGGATTTCGGGTTTGCGGGGGTGCCAGGAGTCCTGTTTTGACTAGGGTCTTGTGGACTGTCAAGGTGGCAGAGCATGAGGATTTCCATGGAAAGCCTTCGCACGACTTACCTGTCCAGTATCCTAGGGGAACTGACGGTTCACCTTCGGGATTCTTGGGGATTCTTGTTCATAGCTTAAAGTTTAAAGTTAAGGGGTACCTACTCTAATACTATACTAAGACCTGCATCCTGGACTTCATAGAAAGTCCTGTGCTTGCTTGCAGGTGCTTGGGATTTGAGCACCAACAACTGAAGCCTCTTTGGCCTGCCGTTTCATCCCACTTAGGGTTTAGGGTTTAGGGTTTAAGGTTTAGGCCCTAAACCCTAAACCCTAAACCACATCTCAAAGGCATCCAACACAAACCGGAATGGAAAGTTTATAGGCCAAGCTGCTGTACTGGCTGCCCACATCTACGTTGGGGTCGCACCTTGGGGTTCCACGGGGGGTCAGAAGATCGCCAAATACCCTAGTAACAAGGCATCGGAAGGAACCGGATGTGCAACGGGCAGAGCCCACGCATGTCGCCTTCAGGATGGGGGTTTCCAGATCCAGGGTTTGAAGTTCAATGCAGATGCAGGGGCCTTACTAATTAGAACAGGGTTTTGGGGCTTCCTTATTATAGTGATAGCAAAATATACCCCCAAACCCTATTCTAACTATCCAAGGCCCCTACATTAGCGTTATAGTTATAGCAATATATACTCCCAAACCCTATTCTGATTATTAAGGCCCCTACATCAGTTCGCCTACAGGAACGGAGCGGAAAGTCATCCCAAGCACGCACACTTGGAGGTTCATGGGTAGTTATAAGTGTGGTTATATGCCCCCTAATAAGGGTTATAATTATAGTTACCCTACTTATAACCCTACTTACAGTATAACTACCCAGGAACCTCCAAATATGGCCCTGATAGCCTCTTATAGATCCCTTAAAGGGACCTCCTCCTACTTATAACTACCCATGAACCTCCAAGCAAGCATTTTTGCAAGACCTTGGTCTGTCGCAGCCCTCGGTGCCACTTTTAAGAAAAACCAACCCTAACCCTCTAGGTACCTACTATATAGGGCCCCAGGGGCTCTAGTCCCTATATAGTAGGTACCTGGTGGGTTAGGGCAAGGGAAAGCCTGTGCTGTGTCATGGCTTGGATCTTGATATCTGCTGATTCATCGCATTTAGGTACCCATGAGAGATGTTGACTGTAATCCGTCGCCAAGAACTGCTCTGTGAAAGACACGCCGGGATACGCCAGGTACCACGCACATCATCAACAGCGAGGTGGCATCAATGCGCGACAAGCAGCTGGCCAATAGCTTTCTTGCCAGACTGAGCAGGGGTTGAGCTCATGGGTGGCTACCTACATCTTTGATTCTCTTCCTGCTTGTCTACAATCAGAGGTCAAGACAGCTAGGCGGTATGTACAAATACACGGTGAGAAGGAAAGAACAATAGAGATGCAGAGCGATAGAGACATAGTCTTATAAGAATCTTAGCCGGCTACAC